TCAAGAAAACTGAATAATCGCCTTGTAATTTTTAGGTTAGCGCAATGCAAGTGAATGAGGAAAGAGTATTGTCCACACAAACTGCGAACCTAAAAATTACAAGGCGATTATTCAGTTTTCTTGAGTTGAGCAATTCTATGCACCTCACAGTGCTCATGAAGTTGCAGAATATGTATCGTTTAAAAAATGAGGTATCATAGAAAATGTTTTTTATTATAAATTTTTACTTGCATACATTGCACAAGAAAAAATAACTGAATTTGCGCACACAATCCTGTTACTATAAAAGTTTGCATCCTCTTGGATCTTATTCTGGTCTGTAGTTTCCGTGAGGATCAGTGACTGTTTGTATGTTTTGTGATGGTTGTTCATGAGTCTCCGAGTGGTGAAGCACAAAATTATGCCCATTATGAAAAATGAAAAACATTATTTGATGGTCATAAAGGCAACACACTACATTAAACCAGTAAACATTTGAAACAGATGATCTATTTAAATAGTCATTTTGGGAAATGTGTAAATATGTAAATTCTGAAGCATGTTAAAATATTTTCCAAAAGGCATAATAATTTACACAAGACGATCCTATTCAAAAGTTTACATACCCTTCTGTTTCCTTTCTGAGGATTAATAAATATGTTTACCCCTATGTCATTTAATTTGTGTCCTACAAATAAGTGGTTCAAGTTCACGAAAACCTGCTGCAGAAACATCACCTCACCGGATATTTTAAAAAATTTCTGTTTTTTGTTCATATACGATAAAAGTCAATGGACCCACAACATATCTTTGATGTGTTCAACTGTTTAGCAGATAAATTCTTTTGAAATTAAACGGTCAAATATACTATGCGGACATACACTGGCTTGCAGAAACAAGCTTTTCTGTCCCAAAGAAAAAAGAAAAAGAGAACATTTTAACATACAACCAAACTCAGAATAATGAACAATCTGAATTCTGGATGACTGCCCTTAATTGAAAACTGACAGACTTCAATTTGAATTTCACTGCTATAACGCAATCAAGATTGCATTCAGAAAGTATAAGAACTTGTTTTACTATTAATGTTTAATGAATTATTGTTGTATTGATTTATGCTGTGTTTGCATTCCCCATGCATTTTGATGCAGTCTGCAGTCTGCAACTCAAGAAAACTGAATAATCGCCTTGTAATTTTTAGGTTAGCGCAACGCAAGTGAATGAGGAAAGAGTATTGTCCACACAAACTGCGAACCTAAAAATTACAAGGCGATTATTCAGTTTTCTTGAGTTGAGCAATTCTATGCACCTCACAGTGCTCATGAAGTTGCAGAATATGTATCGTTTAAAAAATGAGGTATCATAGAAAATGTTTTTATTATAAATTTTTACTTGCATACATTGCACAAGAAAAAATAACTGAATTTGCGCACACAATCCTGTTACTATAAAAGTTTGCATCCTCTTGGATCTTATTCTAGTCTGTAGTTTCCGTGAGGAAAAAAAAAATCACTATTAATTTTCCATTCCTTTTCAAAAGAAGAAACAATAAATAGAGATTATGGCAGTCAAAAGACAGATGTCAAATGTAGTCTTTGAGGACACACACATGTATATATATATAAATGCAAAATGAATTGTCGAAAAATAGTCCTGTCTGGATAAGTCACTTCAGGTTTGATGTTCTTTGAGGAAAATTGTCACTTCATCTAAAGATCCAGTAATGACACTTGATTGTTTTTGAGTATCTCATATTTGTTCTGTTTTAGCTAGACTCACAAGTATTCACTACTCAGTTTGTGTTGACAGTTCTGGGTTGTAAAATGCTTGTTGTTTTAGCAGTGTTTTTATCCTCACCTGTGGCTCTAGTGTTAGACAGGGGAATGTCTTGAGAGCCCAGGCGACCTGCTCTTCATTCTCCGCAAGCGTCACGGTGCAGGTGCTGTACACCAAAACACCTCCTCTTTTTAACAAACGCACAGCCTGCAAACAAAAGTGTGTAAAACAGACACATTTAATAAGCTGTAAAAGACTAACACAGCAATAAACAGCTACACAGAACCTCCTTCTGTTCAGTGACTGAAAGAAACGTTCACAATAGGTAGTCAGACAAAATGATATAGACAACTCCAAGCGGTGTTATCTTTAACTAAAATTATAAAAAACAATTGCAATTGCAATATATATATTAGACAAAAGAAAACTTAAAAATGTTAAAAACTTTAAAAATTTAAAATGTTGCCATAACTAACAGAAATAAAACGAGTTAAAGTTTAAAGGGGTCATATGACGCTGCTAAAAAGAACATTATTTTGTGTATTTGGTGTAATGAAATGTGTTTATGCAGTTTAAAGTAAAAAAAACACATTATTTTCCACATACTGTACAATATTGTTTCTCCTCTATGCTCCGCCTTTCTGAAACGTGTTGATTTTTACAAAGCTCATCGGTCTGAAAAAGCGAAGTGTGCTGTGATTGGCCAGCTATCCAGTGCGTTGTGATTGGCCGAATACCTCAAGCGTGTGACGGAAATGTTACGCCCCTCACCATACTGTGATGATGCCGTGTCCCAGCTGGAGCGACGAGACATAACCACTGCAGGGAGCGTCTAATAATATCCGGTCAAAACTCTCCTCAGGATACGGGGGACCGTCAACAAATACACACAAATCTATAATTAGTACGTCTACAAAAACTATGTTCAGCTTAAAATCTGATCTAAACTTGAAAATGAAACCTTTTTACAAATCATATCTGCAATTAATTAAAGTAATTCACCCAGAGATTATATTCTATTGTCTTAAGAGTCACTGTGAAAGATGGATTAAACTATAAAGAGATAATGAGAAGAACGTTTAGAAAATATGTACTCAAAATTCATGTCAGGTAAAACAGTATGCTCATAAAACCACTGAACAGGCTGTCAGTAGATTGTGTGCATAATATGTAAATAGTCCATAATGCAACTGCATACTGCAAGAATTATGTGTGAAAGAAAGAAAGAAATTTGAAATATCAGAGAAACAAAAACAAAATATTTTATTAAAAAAAGAAAAACATGTGTGAGTCCCTCAGATAGCTTTTCTTTCCTTCAGGAAATCATATATAATTAATTAATTAATTTCAGTGGCAGAATTATCACAAAGTAGTTGCTCATTTGTGCATATAATATTAATTTATGTTGTGTCTATTTATCTTTTAAAAAAAAAAAACATGTTTGTTATTATTTTAACTACTGGTATATGCATGAGTGCAATATGAGTTGCCTATAAATCCCAAATTGTTCCTCACTTTTGATGCAGAATGAAATCCGCTGAATTTAGTATGCGAGTCAGGTCTGTACTGCTGGTTTTAGATTATGGAGGCTCACCTGCACTGCATTGAGCGGGATCTGAGCTCACAGCATGCACACTGTTACAGCAATATGCTTTAATACAGTGCAACTGCAGCATCTTTGCGTTCTGAACGATCTTTTCCATTTTGGATCGGATTTTTTCCAAGGCCACAACAGTACCCTGTGGAGACACAGCATAAGATTTGAGAGTCTGTTTGTTTTCATCCAGGACTACTTTTTCTTGCCAATATTTCAAGTACTCTTATCATATAATGTCCTTACAGGATTGCTAACACACACACACTTGCCTGGTTTCCCATGAGAGAAGCGATGTGTGTGGTCTTTCCTCCAGGAGCGGCACACATGTCGAGGATTCGCTCTCCTGGACGAGGTCCTAAAGCATGACCCACGACCACAGACGGCAGGTTCTGTGTGAACAAATGCAAACAAACACATTCAAAGGCACCTCGATTTGGACTAATGCTCAACATTTTGGAGACACTTGACTGAATTAGTTTCTTGTTATATTAAAAACTTTTTATATGAGACTTATTTTTGTCTTTACACTTATCTATAAAACTGTCATTTTATGCCTTTTTGTTTTATTGTTTATTATTTTTTACAGTTTGTTTTTATAAACAATTCAATAATTATTAATAATAATAATTATTATTATTATTAGATTTAGCTATTTAAGTTAATAAGTTGGATCAAACAGTGAAAAAACAACAGAATCATACATAAAAGCTTCTTCAATACTGTTTAAAAAGCAGGTGTCAAATTTGATATACATTTTTATCATTTATATGTTTTCCCCCTGGAACGGATTTTTGGGGTATTTTACCTTTATAAGGGCATACGTTTTGAAATTGTTTGTTTTGGGGGTTTTTTGGCCAAGTTTACATTCAAGTTGATTAAAAAACACTTCATATTATCTACTCATCTAACAACACCTAGAAGGGAACATTATGAAATATATTACTGCAAATATTAGCTATAAGATAATAACAGGGTAATAATGGAACAACAGTTTTAAAAAGTGATTTTTCACTATTATTTACAACAGGATCTGCAATTTCATGGGTTTAAATACAAGATTTTTGCTATAAGGGGAAAAAAACTAAACCACTCCTTCCCTATTAAAAAAACAACAACAAACAAAAAAGCCTGATTTACGAAAGTCAGCGAATTTGCATCTACTGAATGTAACATTTTTGACAAGCCAAACATGTCAGTCTCGGAGTCACATCAACTTCATTCTGTAAAATAAGTATGAAACATGCAAAAAGCATTTCGAACAACTCCAGCACATTTTATAATTACCCAAAAATCAAACAAAGTTCACCACTTACACTACATATGAAAACACAACTATATATATATATATACACTAATGCGAATGGTAGTTATCTGAGACTCAGAAGCATGGTACCTGTAGAAAGAGCTGATCTGTAAGAACACCATCAAAGGAAGGGCTTTGATAGAGAGGCTCAGTCATTCGAATGGCAACACCCCTGAGAGAGAGACAGAGACAGACAGACATACAGGTTAAAGCGATCCTGGCTTTCAACGGAGTACATAAAGACTTGTACAGAGAACTCGACTCACTTCCCGGGTCCATCTGAGCTGAATATTTCTGAGCGATCCACCTCAGAAATCCCGTTACCCAGAAACACCTTCTTGCCCTTGAACTCTTTGGCTCCGCGTGTGCACTTGCCCTCCACATCAGAGAAGACAGACACCACCTCGCCCACTTTCATGTCTGACAAACCCACAAATACAGATTTAACATCTTAATGAATCTAAATCAGATTTTCCCAAACTGAAGAATACTATGGCCCCCCCCAAAGAGAAAGGGAATAAATTGGCGGTCCACACTAGATCATTAATTATTTATCAAAAGACACAAGTATTCATACTTATAATTTGCAATATTATATAATTTAATATCGGTACCGACTACTAGATTTTTGGTATCGTGACCCTATTTCTATCATGACAATTCTCGTAGAGATTTGCATGGTAATGTACATGACAATGTTAATGTATTTGTGACCATGAACCACAAAACCAGTGATTAAATTAAAGAAATACTGCTGCTGCACATATAACACATATGAATAACCCCCATAGCATACATGATCGCCCCGTAGCAGATCTATACAGGCGGAGCTGGGGAGGTGGAGGGTTTCTGAGGTGCGCTGCTACTGCTACAGCAAACACTAGCCAAGTATTTGAATGTTGAGCAGCGAGCTCATTGGCTACCGATACAGGAGAGAACCAATCAGCTGTGCCATGTGATAACGATGCATTTATGTCAGATTGAGTTAGACCTATTGGACTGTGCCATCTAGAGTTTCATGCCAGAACTTTGGATTTTTCATATACAATTTATGGCTTAGTCAGCAGGATCTAACTAATTTTAATGTCTTAAAAAATAAAACTTTTCATTCAACACCCTGGAAGCAGCACACTAGTGTATATACTTAAAAATAAAGATATGTGTGTGTGTGTGTGTGTGTGTGTGTGTGTGTGCTGCTCACACTTTGGCGTGCTGAGGATGCCAGGCGTGAACACATGAGCTCCTCGAAGAACAGCATTACCACACTGAGCGCCAACGATCACTTCAGAGGCCAGCGGATCCACGGGCCTGCAGAACAAACACACGCACACAAACCAACAGCCACTGTATTACTGCAGAGTCCAGCTTCTGAGAGAACAGACATCTTGCCAGCGATCGGCTCATCGTCATGCTGGATAATAAACAGAACTTATATTTTAAAACAATAACAATTATAATTTAACAACAAAAACAATATTGTGAGCATACCGAGGGCCGTGGACTGGAAGCAGCAGAACATCTGGAAGCTGTGGGTGAGTGTAAACTGATGGAGATCTTTCCTGCTGCAAAGAGACATTGAGAAAAAAAAAATCCTGAAAACTATTCTCATATATTTAACTGTACATTTTAAACAACACTATGCAGAAGGCTCATCATTGATTCCCAGCACCATACAGTGGCCCCAAAAAGTACTGAAGTGTCCAGACACTTACTAATGTCACTACTCTCTGTACTTTTGTTTACTTTTCTGTGACTTTTCACAGTCACATGTTGATGGCTCTCTAATGTCAGTTAATGGTCAAACGGCATTCACGCAAATAAATAAAAAACTAAATATTTGATCTTTTATTTTGATCATTTTTTTAATTATTTATTTACACTGTAGTTTTTAGTTGTGATAGTGTCTCAGTCCACATTATATTCATACTACTGTTTTTAGGAAACCAGTCAATTTGACTAATAATAATAATAATAATAATAATAAAGTTTACTAATTTTAAAACTCTAGACAGAGATATATTAGTATTATAATACGTCTATTTAACTTAAAAAAAATAATAATAATATTTGACCAATTTAATAATTTTAAAATTGCACTACTTACTTTCCGTACCCACTGTATATATATATATATTTTTTTTTTTTTGGGGGGCAGAAAACTGCAATGAGACTTTTAAGTTTGTGTTTATTTGACAAAGGGTTTATAAATGTTTCATGAATCTGGTGAAATGCCAAAAAATGTCCGTCCACAAAAATGTCAGAAAATGTGAAAATCAAATGATCACAGACTTTGTAATTTGATAATCTCACTAAGCCATATTGCGCTATTATTTATCAGCCCCTATAAAAACATACGCACTGCCATTTTTGCAAGACATTATTTATATTTATTATTATAAACGCATGTCTTCACACACGTCTTCTGTCTGTGTGATAATAAGCCCCGTTTTTGCATATATAACACAACATGTGAATGTGCAGAAACACACACCTGTGCTAAATGTCGCTGGAGCCGGTGCTGAATGTCCTGAAGTGAGTGCAGGTGTGTGCTGGCTCTCAGACAGGTGAACAGAGGCGGATGAGACAGACAGGACAGCAGAGCTTCAAACACCAGCTACAGAAAAACACACGAGAAGAGACATGCACTGGGTTTTCAAATGGTATGTGTGTCCCTGGAGCACAAAAGCAGTGTTAAGTCGCTGGGGGATATTTGTAGCAATAGCCAACAATACATTGTATGGGTCAAAATTATCCATTTTTCTTTTATGCCAAAAATCATTAGGATATTAAGTAAAGATCATGTTCCATGAAGATATTTTGTAAATTTCCTACCGTAAATATATCAAAACTTAATTTTTGATTAGTAATATGCATTGCTAAGAACTTCATTTGAACAACTTTAAAGATGATTTTCTCAATATTTAGATTTTTTTGCACCCTCAGATTCCAGATTTTCAAATAGTTGTATCTCAGCCAAATATCGTCCTATCATAACAAACCATACATCAATGGAAAGTTGGAAATCAATAGAAATCTCAATTTAAATAAAAATTGACCTGTATGACTGGTTTTGTGGTCCAGGGTCACATGTTGTAAACTTTGCCCATGTCATGAAAATGTCCAAAAAAACCAACTCAGAGGTGAATTAAGAGTTATTTGACTGAAAGAGCCCACCTCGTTGTTTGTATAAACATTGCGAAGATGTTCTCGCACTTCTGGGTTCATGGAAAGCTGAGGGAAAACTGACATGTCCGTGTCTTATGTGAAAAATGACAAAAAACACATTAGTGTGAGTTGCAAAACAACTACAAGCTAATCAGTCGCACAGTCTCTCACACGGCCATGTAATAAAAGTTTACAGTACACGCGTTTCCGTTCAAAAACTCACCTTATTTCAGCGCAACATCAGCGTATTGTGACTCAGCATCTGTGTGTTTCATAAACATAACGAGCACAATGACATAAGCTCGTATCTCAGCTCTTAGCTCTTTTACTCTAACGTTACTTACATTTTAATCAGAAGTAAACAAACAGAAAATGAATCGTTCTTCTTCGTTTTCGTGTTGTTTTGTCGTATCCGCGGCGGTCGCACTCCACAGCGCCACCTACTGTTTCCTCTGCGCTGGAGTAAAAATCTAAATATCAGGCTTCTCACATTGATGAAGTTTCCATGTATATCTGCAAAAAAAAAAAAATGCAGAATAGCCTTAACCTGTCTAGATACTAGCTCTCTTGCCTTATTATTCTAAGATTGGGACAGAATTAAATAATGCAATATTTAAAGTATATAATTTATATTTGTGAGTTGTACCATGTGCCTAGGGCAAGGTACACACTAGGGCAAAAGCTGCTTTTTATTATTTATTTACATTGCATGTTTTTTTTTGTTTTATGTGAAAGTGTCTAAGTCCACATTATACTCATACTACTGTTTTTAGGAAACCAGTCAATTTGACTAATAATAATAATAATAAAGTTTATATCATTAACTAATTTAGAAATAAATAATATTTGAACATTATGATTATTTTATTTTACACTGCAGTACTTACAATACATAATATGTCTCGAATCCTTCACTTTCAAATGTTAAACTATCATTTATTTATTTTTATTTATTTATTTCTTTTGGCAGAAAACTGCAAGGAGACTTAAGTCTGTGTTTAGTTGATAAAAGGTTTATAAATGTTTTATGAATCTGGTGAAAAGCTGAAAACTCCCGTCCACAGAAATGTTTGAAAAAAATGATAATATTTAATATGTAATATTTATGTCATATTTAAAGTTTATGAGTTAAGGGATTAAAATTGTGAATTGTAACAAGTAAATGCAAGACTTCATTCGTCTAGCAAACCTACACTGTAAAAATAAATCGGTAAAATAACAGAAAAAGAACCGGCAGCTTACACACGACATTATCCATTAATTTTACGGACATTTCTGTTAACTCTAAAACAAGATGCAATGAAAAGTAAAATTCTAAATACTGGTAAAACACCTGTAAAAAATAAATGTGGAAAAATTCTGCTTTACACACAGAGGATGCTCTCACCAAATGTTGATTTAATTAAGTTAATAGAAGTTAATTGATAAAGAAAATCTATTTATGACATTATTTTTGACAGCATCCTCATTTTACTGCATTTTTACACAAGTGCCTAAAACTGTTAACAGCACTGGAGCTTCGCAGGTAGCTTTCTTCAAGCGTCTTGGAGACACAGTTCTTCTGGATTGAGTCCGTCTCAGTTTGTTCTGATTCTTCATGTCATCTCAGACAGACTGATGATGATCAGGGCCCGTATGTATGAAACTTCTCAGAAATGCTCTTAAGAATAGTCTTAAGCTTTGACTTAAGTGTCAAAAAATTCTTAGTAAAAAGTAGGAGACTTTTATAAAGAAGCTAAAAGCAGCTTTCAGTAAAGTCTGAGACTGATTCTTAAGTGTTGACTGAGGTGACACTTAAGTGTTGTGAACTAAGGACTACAATAATGTCAACACTAAATGGCTGACCTCGACCTCTGAATCAGCCAATAGTGAGCTCATGTGAAGCCACAGCAGCACAACACCACTCATTTAATGTAACTACAATAAAATCATTTAATTAAGACACTGAAATATTTTAATATTTAATTTTTTTTAATGCTTTGCATTGTGCAAAATGATCACAAATGATTACTGATGCTTCGATTTCTATTGGTATGTCTCCTCGTTTACAGTTGGAGCAATGACGTGAACACGAGTTCAATCAGTGGCTCCATCAACTCCATGAAAGCCCACAATCCTCATAAAAGTGGCTTGTTTTGCAATATGCTTTGGCGGTCAGTTGGAAAGTTAATTAAATTGCATTGTGCAAAATGATCACAAATGATTACTGATGCTTCGATTTCTATTGGTATGTCTCCTCGTTTACAGTTGGAGCAATGACGTGAACACGAGTTCAATCAGTGGCTCCATCAACTCCATGAAAGCCCACAGTCCTCATTAAAGTGCAATATGGTTTGGCGGTCAGTTGGAAAGTTAATTAAATGCCATATAGTAGAGGCCAAAAGTGAGGTCCGGCCTAGGAAATTTCACCCTTAATTAAAAAAAATAAATAAATGAATGTTCAAGATTTTGTAAGCATATTGCATAATTGCTTAGAGTCAGTTGTTTTATTTGTGACAGCAATGCAATGAAACATGCCAAATTGTGCAGTCATAATTTTTGGCATGCTGTCATACAAAGAAATTATGAATACATGCAAAAACAAGAGGGCCAATGAAATATTAATAACTTTGTAGTCAGTGTGCCAGTGTTGCCAATTTAGTGATTTTTGTCACTACACTTCCTGTAGTGTAGTGTAAAAAGGTGCATTGCTGCATTTTTCCAATTTTATAGGCAAAAAAAATTTAACTACTACATTTCTGCAGTTAGAGCATTGACTTGAGTGGAAATGAAATATTAATAACTTTGTAGTCAGTGTGTCAGTGTTGCCAATTTAGTGATTTTTGTCACTACACTTCCTCATCCCTTTAGAGACTTTTTTTTCAAAAGCCTAGCAACAAAATCAGTTTCTTGGACAAACCTCATCTACATTCCGAGACTCTCCCACGACGTCATAAAGGCGAGTTCACTGAGCTATATAAATATAAATCAGTGAACTCACCTTTATGAGGTCATCTTGCAACATGAAGTGACCAGTTTTAGCTACTTTCGATTATAAGCAGTTGGCAACACTGGTCAGTGTTTTTTTCCCCTTTGTATTTTAGTTTAAGTGAAATGTGGGGTCATCAAAAAAATTAAAAACCCACACATCACTTTTGGCCACTGTTGCGTTTGGTGGGGTTAGTGCCACAATATGTAAGACCCTGCTTACTGTATCATCACAGGTGCATTGCTGCATTTTTCCAATTTTATAGGCAAAAAAAATTTAACTACTACATTTCTGCAGTTAGAGCATTGACTTGAGTGGACGAGGTTATTACATTTCTTTGTCAGTTACAAAAGTCTTATTCTTAAGTCTAGGAATAAGAGTAAAATTACTTCATTCTTAGAATTTTGACACACTTAAGACTAAAATTTTACTCTGAGCGGCTTTATACATACGGCCCCAGATCTCTGTGTGGAGCACTGGCTGCTGTCAGACAGTCTTAAATAATTTAGGAGCTGGGACCTAGTCTTAACACTTAGGAACCTTTATGAATCACTCTTATTAAGTCTAGGAATAGGAGTAAAATTATGTCATTCTTAGAATTTTGACACACTTAGGACTAAAATTTTACCCTGAGCGGCTTTATACATACGGCCCCAGATCTCTGTGTGGAGCACTGGCTGCTGTCAGACAGAAATCTCACTGGATTATTACAATTAATGGCTAAATGAATGTTTGGAAATGCAAACTGATATTAGCTACTGACACACTACAGCAAAATATAGAAATAAATGACTTAAAACCATTATTTATATATACACACAAAAAAAAAAATACAAGAAACTGCACATGAAAGTTAAGAGAGATTTATTCAATATTATAAAATGTAAAAAGTTAGGCAACGAAATCAAATGAGATCAAATGCATCTAAACATTAACACGTTCACATTTTTTACCATCTGAATCACCAAAAAAACAACAAAAAAAAAAGACTTGTCTTAGAGACAACTTACGGAGTAAGACTATCTATGTACTTTAAAGTAGGGTTGCAAAGGGGTGGAACATTTCCAAAAATCCCTGGAATATTAAAAAAAAAAAAAATCCTGGAAATTTTCCAAAATTTTTGGAATGTTCCCGAAATTTACTGGAAATGTTCCACCTTTTTGCAACCCTACTTTCAAGTTACCATTATAAAAACCTAAGACATGGTCAAAATATATGGAAACATGATCCATGAGAGCCCTGCACTTATAAAATACTTTCACCAGCTAACAGTGAGGTGTGATGAAATCAAGTGGAATTTGTTCCAGTTGGCATAAAACTAAACACTGCCACGCAAGCCTAAGAAAAAAAAAAAACAAGTTTAAACACCACCACCACCACAAAAAAAAAAAAAAAAAAGTGCATGGTTCAATCTTGCATTTTAACAGCTCAAACCATGAGTGGCATTAACTGTGATCCTATATCATAACCCATTCAAAATATGAGATCTTATTCCAGTGAGTTGCACAGAGTAAACACTTACTTCTCATTCAGTATATTAAAGTTAGAGGTGGGTTCTCATGGGGATTCAGCACAGATTTCTCTCACCTAAAGGGGGTTTTTAAAGAGGATGCAGGGTGTTTTGTTTGTTTAATCGTCTTTGTCTTTGGCTCCGTGTTTAAGAATACGGGTGAACTCCACGTAGTTGAAGTTGCTCTTTTTATCGATGGGCGCTTCTCTGAAAAGCTCGTCGACCTCTTCGTCTGTGAATCGATCACCCATAGTGGTCAGCAGCTCCCTCAGGTAGTCCTCATGAACGAAGCCTGCGAGGAGAAACAATCACAGCTTCATCTTAGTCCAATCTGCGGGGTTTGTTAAGAGCAAAGTCTCCAAATGAGAGTATTTTTCCTCGGTAGTTCAGTATTTTTGTTATACTCAGTTTCTCTCCACAGCTGCATAATTCTTCACGCTCAAAAAGATTGATGCATTTGAATTGCATTACACGGTTTTCACAAACTAATAAACTTAATGTGATGCATTATTTTATATTTGTCAGTCTCACATAAATGAAACGGGTAAGACATTTTGAAATAATACTAATAATCTGAATGTGCTTTAAACACACAGTGTCCAGGTTTATATATTTTTCATCAATAAATCCAAATAGTTTCAATCTCATACATTTTATACACTAATTGAATATTACTCATTTCACAGCTAGCCATATCTTAACCACGTTCACTTTTTAACTGAATAAATGTAATTGCCACAATAAATTATGCTGATTCCAAGAAATGCATTTGGAAAATATTTAAATAATTTTTTTTTTACCCATTTCGTTTATGCACGACTGAGAAACATGCATCACATTAAGTTTATTTTTGTTAAAACTCTGTAATTCAAATGGATGGGAATTTTCCATGCAGTTCAGATATATAAACCTCATATTTAAGCTTAAATATCATGTTGAGTGCAGAGAGTGCATTCATTGATGTGGAGCACGACTGTGGCAGAAATTGTGTTGCACGGATTCAATAAGAGACAATCTGTTCACCTGTTCCTTCCTCGTCAAAGCATGCAAACGCATTACGAATGACTTCCTCCGGGTCTGTGCCGTTAAGCTTCTCTCCAAACATCGTGAGAAACATAGTGAAGTTTATGGGCCCAGGAGCTTCTGTCATCATTGCCTCCAAATAGTCTTCTTTTGGGTTCTTCCCTGAGAGAGAGTGATCAGATCCACACATCAGATTCACAAACATGCGTGACCCTGGAACACGAGACTAGCCAGAAGGGTCAATTTCTGGAAATAAATAAGCTTTCCATTGATGTATGGTTTGTTAGGATCGGACAATATTTGGCTGAGATACAACTATTTGAAAATCTGGAATCTGAGGGTGCAAAACAATCTAAATATTGAGAAAATCATCTTTAAAGTTGTCCAAATGAAGTTCTTAGCAATGCATATTACTAATCAAAAATTAAGTTTTGACATTTACGGTAGGAAATTTATAAAATCTCTTCATGGAACATGATCTTTACTTAATATCCTAATGATTTTTGGCATAAAAGAAAAATCTATAATTTTGACCCATACAGTGTATTGCTGGCTATTGCAAAAGCGGCATTGCACTCTTCCAGATGTGACCAGTTCCTCTCCCGTCTGCATTATGTACTCAGGAGAAAGTGCAATTAAATTGAAAACAATGAAAAGCAAGAATTGCCAGTAAAATCTTACCAAGAGAAGCAAGCATGTCATGAAGATCCTCCTTATCAATGAAGCCGTCGCGGTTCTGGTCGATCATGTTGAACGCTTCCTTAAACTCCTGAATCTGCGACTGATCGAACATAGCGAAGACATTGGAGGTTGCCCGCTGAGGGCGTTTCTTGGTGATCTTTCCCTTGGTGCGACATTTGCTCGACATTTTGGCTGTATTTGGATTTTACCTACAAGCTGGGAAAACAAAAGACACATCAGAAACAAGCCCAGACACTTACAGATTCACTTGCCAAAAATAAATAGCTTACTTTTCAGCTCAAAAACTAACTAGAAAAAGATTTAATTGTGCATTCTTTTTGTGCACCGAGCAAAATGAAAAGACATCGACAATGTCTTAGTGGTTCTGCAAAACTAGGTATCTGCAGGTTTTACGAAGGTACTTTTTTTTTTTAAGAACATGTAAAGAAAACGTAAGGAATAAATTGAAGGGAACACACAATACGTCACTATATTCTCTAAATGCAAATGTCTAGGGAGCAGAAAATGAGTTGTATTACAAAATAAAAACTTCAAAAAGATCTCGAGTTCTATAGTATTTTGCCACGCCACTCGCGTCCGGTGTAGACACTGTAACATTGGTTTTGCTTTGCTTCACAGAACTAACCCGTTGCCTGGGTTGCGTAGGCCTACGTATGTGTGGGGCGGAGCTATCAAAATAGGGGCGGGACACTTTTGGGGTAGGGGCGTGTTTGTTTTGGTGATTTCAAATGTCAACATTGGCTACCAGAAATCACTTACCCCACCTTTAAGTCTAGACCTGCAGAAACCACATAAAAGCAAACATGTCTTAAGAATATAACTTTCCCAATAAAACCAAAACGCCTCACATCAGTTAATCAACCCCAGCTATTAAGAAAACACTGTTTCAGTATCTGCTGAAATGCCTGCATATTAAAATAGCATGCTGCGGCAAGTTCTCCTGCGTTACATAAGCCATAGACTTTGCTTAAACTGGGATCTAAGACTAACCAAGTAAAAACAGGTACAAGAGCTGCTTAATTTTTTATTTCAGAGGACAATGAACAACTGATGTGTCGCAATAAAGTCTGCGGAAGGAGGGCGAGCGCCTCTGTATCATCATAGCCTACTTTAGTGACCCATTTTATCTAATTATAGCACATTTGAGTTAACAAGGACACTATTTACAGTAAAGCTCAAAACGATTTTAGCATATTTTCGATGACTAGGTTAAACAAACCATGAGACAGGAAGCAAGTACAACCGCACATAATTACAAAACGTAAAACTACAAGTAAATAACACTCGTATAAACTACAAGTAACGTTAAATAACATTTTCTGGGCAATATTTTAAGAGATTTTTAATCAGAACCCCGAGCATATTTCGGCTCGTTTACGCTCCCAGTTCGCATACATTTTATGTAACATTATAAAAGTGAATAACTAAATGATTACGAACGATGGCTACAGATCAAATAAATAAAAAAAGAAAATTAGCGTCTCACCGAACAACTGAGATCAACCGTTTCCAGCCGTGTTCAACCACCGCCCAACTTCCGGATTTAAGCGTGGCTTCCGCAAACCTCGACCAGACCAACGTGAGCCTGAAGGGGTGTCCCGGATGAAATATAAAGATTCACAAAATGGTGCCGTGACATACAATAGCCGTGAGAAAATTCGTTTAAAACGCTCTACACAATACTTATACTTTTATCATGAGACCAAGTTCGTTAATGGCATATTATAAACATGCCACACCCCTTTATCTTCAGCGTTGGTTTCTCCAGACACGCCCCCAGCGAATTCTACGTAGCGTTCTTAAACATGACCATATACGGTCTCAAATCTATTCGAGTAGACGTAACATTTATTGCATTGTCACTTATTTATTGATTTATTGTTTGATTGAAACATTTGTTTATCATACATAGCCTACCTGAAAAACTGGTCGTTTACAAAAAAACACATTAAATGAGCCACTAATATGTTTTTAAATAAAAATTAAAATGCAATTGAGTATGAAATGCTTTCAAAATGTACATTTGTAAATATTTGTATGTAAACCTTCATTGAAAAAAAAAGCCTCAAGCCAATTTATAATTAAAATCGCATTCATATTAATTAATTGTCTGTTATTATAATAACATCTTTATTTAACTGGGCACATTTTCTGTCCAATTGTGCCTGCTCTGCTTCATTGAGTTTAAACTTGACTTTCTTAATCATTTCAAATCAGAGAAGTGAACTTAGACTAACACTGTGTTATACAAAGCTGCAACACTGCATGGTTGAAACTTAGATACAGCCACTGAACGATTTTCAAGTGCATTTAATTTTTTTAACAGTTAAAGTACATGAAAAAGTCTTCATTTTGAACGGTACATTATAAGCACGTATCATACACGTCCAAAGAATGGTGTTTTTATTCATTTATTTGTTTGTTTGTTGATTGGTTGACTGATTGATTTCAACTATGCGACTATTCAACTATTTTTTTTAAATCCCTGTTATGTCCCTCAGGGAAAAGTTGAGTCTGGAGAAGTATTCAGCAGAAGTTGAGATTCAGCTGGACTGAGTGAATTTAGACCTGCATGTGTGATTTCTGCCACAGTTTTAACGCCATCAATACCATGCAACTTCAATGATATAAATACATTTTTTGGAAGCTGCATCCAAAAGTCAATCTTAAAGATCTGAGTGGGCACGTGGGAGTTATACTGCCATTCATGATATTTCATAATCAGGATATTTGTGGGTGGCAACAGCGCCTCGTGGTTAAGTGCGTCGACACATAGTGCAACTGCGTTCACGGCGACCCGAGTTCGACTCCCGTTTTGAGGTCCTTTGCCGATCCCGCTCCCCTTTCTCCTCCTAGTGCTTTCCTGTCATCTCTCTCTACTGTAATATCTCACTAACAAAAATAATCAGGATATCTATTCAGCATTGCATTATTCTCTATGGCCACAAGAGAGCGTGCTTGTGCTGTAAGCGCGTGCGAAATATTACAGCATGCACTCTGTACAACACTTTTCTCACAGAAGCTAGCTGTAAACGATAGAATTGAAGTCATTATTCGTATTATACTCCCAAATTGTATTTTTCCAGCAGTCGCGTTTAATTCTTTATTAAATTTAAGGAGGCATTCAAAATTATGCCATATTAAAAATATCCCTATAAATTATTTACAGAGCTTTGTTGTCAGTCTGACTGTGCACCGGAAGACACATTCTCTCTCTCTCTGTGTGTGTGTGTGTGCATAACTTGGCAATACATCTAATTCTGATCAGATATTTTGTATAGTGCAATTTATTTTAAGAAAAAAGCAATGATATGCTAAAAAAGTCCTGCAGAAGACGCAGTGCAGCAGCTGTGTTAAACCCATGCTACAATCCCAGGGTCAGCCAAACTTGTGCTCTTCCAAACACTGTTACAAAGACGAAAATACACAGGCATATTCATGACAACAAGAGTCTCATAGACAGGCAGCTGGTCTGAACATGCACACACACAAACGCACACTTTTCCAGGAAAAGTAGGCCTATTCTCTCTTGGTTTGACTGGCATCAACATAACTGGAACTTTGTGCATTATTGCTTAATCTTAAGTGTTTTAGGAGAGTGGCATTAAGATGAGCCGTAGTATTTATAAACTACAAGCACTCCCTCAATTTATTAGTTACATCTACCTTGCACTTTCCTGCTTTTACCAATTGGAATAAAATTTACAATGTTTATTTTATTAAGAATGGTGTAATTCAGCATTATGGTTAACACTTCAGCATAATTGAATGGTTCCGAAGGATCGTTTTAAAATATATTCAAATTGAGTTATTTTTAATTTGATTAAATATTACTGTTTTTACTGTTGTTTTGATCAAATGTACATGCAGCCTTGGTGAGCATAAAATACTTCTTTCCAAAAAATTGTAAAAATCTTAATTATTCCAAACATTTGAGTGGCAGGCATGCCTTGATGTCTCACGCAAGTCTAACAGATAAGCATAAATGGTGCCAGACTGCCTACAGAAAAAAACCCCATACAAATAAGACACACACACACACACACACTCTTGCTGGCATATGTTGTATGTCATGGGGGATAACAATAGCATGACTATTGTTAGTGCAGACCACAGCTGAGATGAAGGCCTTTGAAATGAAGAGAGAACTATAAGGTCAGAGGCTTATGAAGGTAATCTAACCATTCCTCCATGGACAAACCGGAAAAATCTAGTTTGCTTGGTAAATATAAATACAACAGGCCCAACCTTTGCATGCTGACATCAAATGAACCCAAACTCAACTGTACTTTCTTGATATGCCAGAACAATCCTAATTGCTTGTCACGTGTTTTGAGCTTCAGTTTACCATATTTGAAGCTCTCTATTTATATGCGCCGATCAAGGTTTATATGCAAATAAAAGCCTAAATTAAATCTGTTCATCACATAAAGCAATTGTGTCTCTTCAGAAGACTTGGATTAAACCACCTGATTCGTATGGATTACTTCTACAATGTCTTTATGGACTTTTTGCAGAATCAGAGTTTTCATTAAAAATATTTTAATTTGTGTTTCGAAGATGAACAAAAGTCTTATGGGTTTGGAACAACATGAGGGTGAGTGAGTAAACGCTAACACTCTGGTAACACTCTTTTGTCTCTCATGTGTTACAGGCTTCGGCATTTTCTTCTGAATCACATTCCTGTCTGGTATATGTCAGGTGCTGTCAAGCACTTATTATCTGTATCTGATATGGTTTTATTGCTTGAAGTGGCCCTGCTTTTGGCTTTGTTTAAGACATTTGTGCTTGGTTTCACAGACAGGGCTTAGACTAAGCCAGGATTAGGCC